ACTAGCAATAAAGTACAATTTAACACGTGTCTTCACATCGTTCTTCTGCTACGACTAACCACATTAGAATAGGACTCAACTCTTATTTCATAATCAAAGGACCAACATTTCAACAAAGACGGAGTTGCAATCCTTCTACTGAATATCCCATAAGAATCTATTAGAATAAAGCTAACAAAAAACTTTCACGACAATTTTTAAAGTTTCCATGAAGGAATTATATTGGAAGGATGTTGGAGCTAAAATCAATTTATTTCATAATTTTAAGATTAATATGAAAATGCTGGAGTTATTTAGTATTTCATTAGCAGGTACACGACAAGAAGCATTCATTCCAACACTGTTCAACGTGTTCTCCAGCTATTCCATATCCGTCAGCTAATACATTTGGTAGATGCTCGATTGAAGATTACGTGAAGATGTTGAAGGAACGTCAGAAGAAATAAGGATAGGAATAACTCTTAACCTTTGAACTTTTCAATAACATTCAATTAGTGTTTTGATAAAATATTTGTATATTCGTGTTTTTCAGCGTTTCATCTCAGTGCCACCACTGACTCTCACTGTTTCATAATTTGTTTGAAATTGAACATTAAGCCTATAAATTGAAATAAATATAGCCCTTGGCTCAATTTAATAGCTGATCTAGCTTGAGACTTACAATTTCTTTGTTAGACGTAATTTGCTGTTTGCAGAATGAAAATATATTTAAATGAAAATATATTATAACCACCGAGTAAGAATTTGCATTTTAGATAAATTTTCTAAAACATAAAAAGGAGAGCCAAAGGCTTTCTTTATTCATATTTATTTTATATTTCACGGGCAGTAACATCTTTACTAATCATTTATCGTTTAATAATCAATTTAAAAGATAATTGGTGGTTTGAGTAACAAAACAACCTGTGGCACAGTTCCGAATCAGTACGCCCATACAATCTTTCTTTTCATTTCAATAAAGAGACTTTTCGAATGTGTTCTGAGAAGTTGAAATGAAAAATAATTGTCTCATTTGTATTGTAACCAATCGTATTTTAAAAAGCAAATTTTTATAAGTAATAATTAATTGACGATAATTAATTTCTATTTTATCATGGGAATGGAAACATTTTTGCAGAGAGGTAAATTAATGTCAGCGCCACCATATTATGGTGCTTCAAGGCCTGCACGAAGAAATCCACCTGTAAAAAAGTTGTCGAAAATTCGAAAAAAATTAGCAATTAAAAAAGAGCGGCTTGTACCAATTAATGACTTGCCGCTCGATGCACCACCGATTGATTGCCCGCCCATTTATGAAGTACAAAATTAGAATTCAATTACTTTTATTAATAAGTAAAAAATTGATCATTTCATTGATGACAAATTACTTCTGTAATTTTTTCAATCACTAACTAAAAATGATCTCTGAAGAGATCATTTTTAATTAGTGCTTGGAAAAAGTCAAATCATTTAATGGTCTCGAGAAACATTTAAGAATTCATTCCGGAAAATTGATCAACAAATAAAAATGTCTTGTCATATTAGCTTTATCCATATTCATCATATAATTCCACTCTTACCTAAATTTCGGGAAAATTCTAATGAATTCTGATGAATAGGAAAATATATTCCAAAAAGAATACATCATTAAACGATAATTACCTGCAAAATTACCTATAAATATCAATGTGCCATTACTATTTGCAATTATTTAACAAAAATCGTCTTTCAAGATGAAATATTTCAGTGTCATGTAATGTTGAAGCCATTGAAAAAGCATCGTCTTAGTATCGCAAAGCGTTATTTTAGTAGAATTACCCGCGGATTAATGCGATTAATGCCGGAGAAAAGTGCTAAAGCAAATAGCGGAGTTATCGGATCGGAATATACCATCGATTTGACCACCGTTTGTGATTTTCTTATTACTTTTATTTTTCTATTAACATGCCTACCTGTATATTTGCTTTATTAACTGGAGCTATATTATCTATCAATGCTATAAGTAATGGATGATAGCCGTATTTTTAAATAATACTTCCAACCAACTTTAATGCATTATTGAGTTTTAATAAGCTCACAACTTTCCTAATTATTTTCAGGCAGCAATTTCATGTGACGATTCCAAGCGGCGATTAATTTTTAAATTCAAGAAAGAATCACGTGATATAGGACCGGTGAACAAGAATGAATATGATACATTCAAGGAAATGATCCAGAAACATCGTAATTATCGTCAAAGTGCTTATCGTAACAAGTATATCTTTTTAAAAAATAAAATCTGAAAATAAAAAGTATACATGGTCCTTTTATATTGCTTGTCGTGTGGCGATAATACCACGGTTAAATATACTTTAAACTATTGCAAACTTTACTCTCTCATTTAAAATCCATTATGGATAATCAAAATTCACAATATTAGTAACCTTAAACTATGTTCTCTTCAACTGATCGACTGATGAATTTTTTGATGGAAATAACGAAATTTTTTTCTTAGAATTTTTAAAGTTAGAAAAAAGATTTGGTTTTTAAGAAAGGAAGACATCAATGAATTGATGACCGCGAATGCATGCCACAGTAATGAGTCCTTTCCAGTAATTGGGCGGTGAGTTTAAACATTTTAGTTATATTGCTGAAAGAAACTTAGAAATCTAACAGTTTAAGGAAGAGCAATAAAATAATTAACCTAAATGAAGCTGTTACTCATTCAAAAAGTTCTTCGACCTTTTATTTTGAGGTTCTTTTATGTAATTTCAGAAAAATCCTTTGAATTTACAAAATTTCACTGAAGAGGAGAAAATTCTTAGTCATAAAGTTCACTATAAATTTTTACTCAGTAAAAGGTGTCCAAATAATTAATTAAAGAATTTTGTCTTTAAATAAAATAAAAGGTCCGTTAATCCGGAACAAGACGCTGACGTGGGAAAATTACGTGAAGACTTGCGGAATAATATCACTGCTGAATTAAATGAAAAAGTAATAAAAATAGTCAATGATATCAAAGCGATTGCTGTTGAAATGAGACAAATGCGAAAAGAATTAAAAGTACCGTAATTTCTTTTTTCTTTTTCAAGTGTGACATTATTTTGTCACATTTGTTTTGACCGAGAATGCCTAATAGTTATCAAATTTTTAAAAATTAATGATAATTAAGAAAACAAAGCAAGCGTTCTAGTGAATCTTTGAAATGATATGCTTTTTTTGTTTTAGGAATTAATAAAAATAGTTCAGAGTAAAAAAGCATTATCAGCAGTGGAAAGTAAAGAAGGCAAGTTCTTTAAATCTTATTCATCACTTTTCCTATTAAATTCATTTATAGAAAAATGCAATAAATTGAATTTAATGTTAGTTATTTTCCAAACTCATCACTAAATGCACTTACATTAAGTATGCGTAGTATGATTGGATAGCTAGTCAGTATTTTTAAGCATTAAGGGATATTTCAGAGGAAGAAAGTTCCGATTCGGATGATTCAGACGAAAAATTAGACGTAGCGATTCCCAGTAACAGTCAAACATTATTCGATGCAGTTCAAAAGTATCACAAGTTTTTTTTTCTTTCACTTTTTATATAAATTTTTCCAAGCAGAAATAAAAATAAAACTATCATTTATCATTTTCCAACTTCTTGATTGCAAAAATAGGGAAAGATTAGGATGACAAAAAATGAAACTGATATCAGAATTGCTATCAAAAGAATAAAGTTAGCACACCAATAACTAATTATGTTGGTATTGAACGAAATCTCTCAATGAAACAACAGAAAACTGTTGCTATTAAATTCAATTCGTCTAAAAAACTTCAATTTTATCGAAACTTTTGCTATTGGAAGTTATTTACCTCAAATTTAGTGCACAAAGAAAAATTAAATGCAGAATTTAGTCATTTTTTATTTATCATATATTTATGTACTGACTGTTTACTGTTTGGGTTTTTTCTTTAAAGGGATGTGATGAAGGAAAGAGTTGCAGAAGACAGAAAAGGTTATTTTACAATGCAAATACATACATGAAAATGAATACGTAAGCTACCACAGACATATTGTCATAATTAGTTTCAGTCCAATTAACAAATGCTAATTTAATGTTAGCAATGACTCCATTGCAATAAGATAACTTTAATACAAAGAAATCTCAAGAAGAATTAGCACGGTGATACTATAAGAAATGCTGATAATTATTGTCTCAAAAAACAATTATGGATAGTTTAACCTAAGAGAATAATACCAAAAATATCCTGTAGGTTTTTAAGTCTCTAAATAGCTCAAAGATTGTGAAGTCAACAAATAAATGACTTCTTTTCAAAATTTATTTTCACCATCCTGAAAGTGTGATAAATGATTGATTTTCAGATATCAAACAAAAGGATAAAAAAATTTTGTTAGTTTTTTTTTTTGTTCCATTTGCGTAATTTTTTTGCTTTACGAGATTTAAATTAAAGCAAATGACCCGTAACCTCTTCTTTGTTATCAAAATTATTATTGTTTCAGACAAAAGGGTAAAACTTGTTTATCCGAAGAAATCGTTGAAAAGAAGGTAATTTGTGTTTTGAATTGTAAATAAAATTGGGAATGTTTTTTATTTCCATTTTAAATAAAGTTTCTTTGAAAGATGAAAATTAATTTCGCACTAAATTTAATGGTAAAAAGTTATATGACCATTATTGTCTTCTCATTTCTTATTTAATATGAATCGCAACATTTCAGGAAGAAAAGCTCGAACATTTATTAGAAGGAGGAGAATTAGAAAAGATGCAACCGCGGAAACGCAGGGAACAATTACCAAAACCATCGGTAATGGCTGAAGAGTTAGGCCTTCGACAATTGATGGCAATCGTTGCACGACGCTTACCCTTGCCAATATCGTTCTTCGAGCCGCTTACAATGTTACAGGTAAACTTCGACAGCAAAAACTAACATTATCATTTCTAATTTTAATTTAATCAAACTAATTGAAGTTTTAAACAGACTTCAGCTGTAAACAAAGAATTGAAAAGTACTGAGACAGTAAATTTAATTAAATTGAACTCACTGAAAAAAAGGAAGACCTTTTATTACAATGTTTTGTTTTTCTAATATACAGTTATAATTTATAATTTCACTAAGATTCATAATTAGTAAAAAACAATGAAATGCAATAGTATTTTATGAAATTCGTGGATTGAAATATTTAGGTTCTGTGCGAAGAATTAAGATATTCGGGACAAACGTTAAATCGAGCTATATCTGCTTATGATCCAGTAGATCGTATTGCTTATGTAACAGCTTTTGCTGTAAGCAGCTATTCCGGTATGGTGTGCCGGAAACAGAAACCGTTTAATCCGTTACTTGGTGAAACATTTGATTTTGT